ATAACCTCAATTCAAAAAAATTCATGCATAAGTTTATTAAATTTTTTACTTTATTGCTAATAAATAGTTGTTGAATTTTTAATAAATAGTTAATAATAAACCTTTAATGAATAATTTAATAAATAGTTGTTGGACTTTTTAATAAATAGTTAATGAATTTTTAATGAATAGTTTTGATAAATAGTTACAAAATTTTTAATGAATAGTTGACTAATTTTTGATAAATTTTTGATAAATTATTAATAAATTAATATCAAATTTTTATTGAATTATTAATAAATAATTTTGTGATGAACTTTTAATGAATTATTGCTGAATTGTTAATGAATTATTGCAAATTATTACAAATTATTTGACGAATTGTTAATAAATTTTTTGACAAATTGTTAATATACTAATTTTTATAGTTGCTAATTTATTTATGTTATTTTTTTGCCAAATTGTTTATTTTTTGTCAAATGTTATATAAGTGACAATATGTCAAATAATTTTTTTTTGACTAGTGAAAATCAAGTAAAATCTTTGATATTAATAACAAGAAAGTTTCTAAAAGAAGAAAAATTAATTGTGAAGTACCTAAAAGCCTTTTCAATTATTGAAGCAAGAGATTATAGAGGTTTTGTTGTAGTAAAAAGACTTATTCCTTCCTTTATAACTGTCTAAATCCTTTTAGAACTTCTATTTTTATAGTTTTCTAGGAAAATTTGTCTACCATAGTTTGATCCTGAATTTTAGATAGCACAAATTCTTATTAAAAGTAATTGGCTAACACAAAACATATTAGTTTTTATAATGTAAACAAGCTTCTATTGATTATACTCACATGTTTCAATGACATCATTGGTAATTAAAAAGAATATTCCAGAAATATCCATCTTTCAAAAACTCAAGTCCTTTAAAGAAGATATCCATAATATCAAAAAATCAAAAGATAAATAATGTGGAATACAAGTATATATTTTTTCCTTAAGCTTCTCAGGTGATGACAAAGCTTTAATGAACAAAAGCTAAGGTCTAAATACTTTTCTTAAGATATTCCAATTTGATACTCACTTAAATAAAAGATCAGTTGAATTAATTTGTTTAATGTCACAAGTGATAACAAAAAAGATTTCTTTCAAGGCTCAAGAGAAGTAAGAAGATTATTTAAATCAAGCAAACTACAGTAATAAACTATTGGTGATGAACCTAATAGATAAAAGTTATTTGCCAATTTTTTAGGAAAGTGAAATATTGTCTTCTAAACCTGACTTAAAGTACTTAATACAATAATAAGTTAGTCATTATATGAAAAATCTGTAATATTACAGATAGTTATATAATTTCTCAATAAAGATCAAGTTATATAATATAGTTGTAGATTAAAATAATAATAATAATAATAATTTATTATAAATAATAATCTATTTTATATTTCATTTACTTAAAAATTCTTTTTGCTAATCCTCTGACCATATATAAAAAAGATATTCACAAAAAGTTTTCATACTTCTATATTAACAAAATCTTAACATTTTCTTTAAATCAGCTTAAAAAAAACTTCAAGAGTCATCATTACTTTCCTCTTTTCTTGTTAATACTTCTCTTCAAACAAAAATTTGACTGCTAGTAATCAAAAAGTCAAGTAACACCTTTTCTATCAAGGGTAAGAAAGTTCTGAAAGAAAGAAAAACTAATATATTATTATTTTACACTATAAAGAGATAATACAGAATATCTTTGGATTGATGAGAGACAACATTTCCACTCTTTTGTTATTTATAATATTTTAATAGTGCTTATTTCTGATTTTTTTCTGAGGAATCTTACCTATCTCAATCTGATTCTAAATTTTAAGTAGCATAAAGTTTTTCATACAATAATTGGACAAATAGAGCTTACATTAGTAAAAGAAGTAAATAGGCTCCTATTGATTATCTTATGTGTTTAAATGCATTTCCTCAGCTTTATAAGAACCTGGGATCTATTATAAATTACTTGATTTGTGTGTGGATAAATATAGGACAAGCAAATATTCTATATCAGAAGTATCTTGAAAAAAGAACTATTAAGATAAGATTCATCAGACAGTCAATAAAGATTTTTTCCTTCTCCTTCTCTTCAATAGATGTACTGATACCTAGGACAGTATTTTTTTGAAAAGTTTTGATATTCTCACTCTCTTATCATGTATTGATACTTTCTTTTGAACACAACCTCTCTTTTTAAATTTTTTCTAGTGCTAGTGAAGTTAAAGCTTTACATAAGGGATCTCCAACATCAGTAGTGCTAAATACTTTAAGTGAATCCTTGGTACATTAGCTTCTCTTCAGGGGATAGTGATAAGCTGCTCAGTAGACTCAGACCCTAGAGAATGCCATAGTATTTACAAGTTTATATTGTTTTTTTTAGTAAAGAGATATATCTATACTAGATGGTCATATAGTTATTCTATTCTGATAGGATGAGATGTAAATAATTAGTTCTATGTACTATTCTAAGATCTATAAATCCTTAGATAGTATGGGTAATTATTCATCCTGGTTGTTTCTAGATACTATCTTTATAAAATATAAAATAGATTTTTTTTTTTTTAATGCTAGCTCATCCTTGCGCCATGGTGACTGTTTTATTATAATAATCAAGTTAATTTTTCTATGAGTTTTTATAAATTATTGCTAAAAGAACCCAACATCTTTACTTTCTATATTTATATTCTATTGATTTCTTAAGATTCTAACTTGATATAATCTCATTTTATCGTATTTTTATCGTAATATTTTTTTATTATATTTATTATAACAAGTTTATAAAATATTATTGAACTATTTTTTTAATATGACATATTACAGCCTATGAAAAAACCATGCGGAGTCTTATATTTGGATGTGACATGCCTTCTAACTAAAAACTCCTTAGTCGTCTTTATAGATATCTCCAGCAGGTGAGTCGGTAAAATCCTATTCGTAAAATTGAAAACATCAGTATTAAATACGCAATATGAATTTTACTCATTTTATTCTATTTTAGAAACAAAAAGAATGTATTCACATCACATGCGAACGCCCTTTGTCCACCTTCTCAGTGATGCGGTGGATTAATAAAGTTTTTAGTATGCACGTTTCGATCTACATATAACCTCCAGGAGGGCTCCTTCGTGACTTGAACTCGTTAATTGTTTATGCATCCAAGATTTGCATTTCTTAAATATACAGTAACTCGATATCTCGAACAAGATTAATAATTACAGAACTTTATTATTCGCTACACATTTTAAATTATGCGCGTGTTCGTTCAATTTCAAAGGGAGAAAGGAGACAAATTATACGCGGAAAGGATTATTAATAAATTACAAAGAGAATAAAAAGGGTGAGCAACGAAAGGATAAAAGTTGCAGAACATATCACCGGGATAAACATCCTTATCCCAGTTTGTGCGTGCGCACGAAAAACAAAATAAAAAATTTGTAAGAATATACATATATGCCTGCATATCTATTTTTGTGTACATAATTAATTATATATACATATGTGCGTGACAACTATTGTAAATGACCAAGGGTCCTTGTTTTATAAATGTTACTCTTGAAGTTCCCACCTAATTACAATGTCCCAAATTACAACATGCTTCCTTCATCATTTTCCACAATATCACTCATCATCTCGCTACTAACCTCTTTCCTTATCTTACTACTTGAACTAGCCCTTCGCACGCCACCATCAAAAGATCCATCGCTCTCCAATGTGGTCCCCGAGATTGTAGTATTGGTTCTGCTAATGGTGGTGTCGGTTCCGCCCGACGATGTATGATACGTATCTACGCTTCCGAATTTGGTCAGTTGTGGTCCCCCTCTTCTGGCTTTTTCCGTTTCGGTTTCTGTATCCATATCTTGGTCGTCGATGTTTTCCCTAGGAGTTTCCCCTGTTAAATCTTTCCGAGTTAATGTCTCTGCGGGTACATCAGAACTTTCCACGGCGGCTCCACGTTCGCTCAAACCGGATTCGCCTTCTTCTATTATGGCTTCTTCACCCTCAAAAATTCTTCCGGTGTGTCCGATAATCCCGACGTTGCTTGACCTTCCAGTGTGTTCGATAATCCCGAAGTTTTTTGACCTTCCAGTGTGTCCGATAATTCCGACGTTGCTTGACCTTTTCGCAATACTAGTCTCACTTCCATAAATTTTTCCTGAACCGTAAATTGTACCTGCTCCTAATCCCTGTTCACTCGGGGTGTAACTCTCTTCTATGTTTGTTATCGCATCCTCAACCTTTTTACCATGTGATACGCTGTGTACCGGCGCGTCCATCTTTTTCAATGACAAAAACGGTTTCCCAGTTACGTCCGTGTTCACCACAAAAGCGTCGGATATTTCAGGCACGTCGTTTTTCTCGTCATTATTATTGTTGTTAACATAATCCGCAGCGAAACCCTTGTATTCTCCGGGGGTATAGAATTCCGAGCCCGAGGAAGAAGAAGAAGAAACGTTTTTGCGATGTCGCGATTTCTTCTTCTTCCAAAAACCTAGGTACTGTGATCCGGAAGTGTCGTCCAACGGATCATCGGTATCATGGCGACGACGTGACTTGATCAGATCGCCGTCAAGCCGTCCACTGGCTTTTCCGAAAACCCTGGGCCCGAAAGTGAAAAAAGCTATGAGCTTTATAAGGATTACAAATAAGCATGATGATAATACTAATATTGGAATTATGAGTGCCGTGACTGTGTACACTTGGTACAGAATCTTGTAATAATAATAATAAAAATAAAAATAATAAATAAATATAGATATATGTGTATATAATGATAATAAATATGATACAGCCTCGTGCTGTACGAGGGAAAAGATTGTGACTTTTCATTTTCTTGATATCTCACCAAAACAATAGCCTGTCCGACATCTTCAATGATCAGATTCACGATATTAAGGAAGAATACATATTTTCGAGTTCTAGGATCCAACGGCGCGTCAAATTTTCTAATTCCAGCGAATCCCGAGGACACAATGTTCCAAAAATCAACGTCAATCAAACTCAACATCAAAAAAATGAAACCGGTCTTCGGGTACATCAGCCACCACTCCAAGAACCTGCTCCTGGATTGTTCGTAAGAGACTAGGAAGAAGGCAGTTGCCGTGTTCATGGCGATCGGCACCATCAGGAGGATAAGACTGTGATGTCAGCAACGAAAACCGATGGAAGCGAATGAAGCCTGAGAGCACACGCGAATTGGTTAACGACGCAGATGAATTCGAAAGACGATTACCTGACGGAATATGTCCACGTTAGATCTCTTCCGTGCAAGGAGATGAATGAAATGTCCAGCACGAAATCCACGATGATAAACGCGAACAAGAATATCACAACATTCCATGCCTTTAAAGATTAAGGTGTTTGGTTAAACGAGAACATTAACTCGAGATGATAATAAAACACGTGCTTAGTGAAATTTTAGTACCTTGTTGTTCCTCCTGCGAGCAAGGAAATATATAATGAATAAGATTAGAAGCCCGAAGAAAGATCCAAGGAGAATCCACCGGTAACGTGCCCAGAGCCCGGCTACGAAAGAATTATGGTCAAATAGTCAAGGAGAAAGGACTTGAACTATCTCCTTCTGAAAAAAAGGAGTAGATAAAAGGAAGATCAATAGAAAATACTTACGGGCAACATTCGCTCCGTATGTATCATCCAGAAGGCTCAACAATCCATTTGAAATTCCGGTAACGTTCTTGTTTATAATTAAGGTGTTCATATCAAAAATGACGCTTATTGGACTAACATCCTGGACCTTCGAGTTTTTATTTACATTGGCAACATTTTTATTAGAATAGATATACACTCTAAACAATATTTGGTCTCTGTTAGGCAAGGTATAATCGTATTGATACTTGGTCCTGAGGTAAACGCGGGATCTCGTGCACGGTATGATGGAGGCGAGTTGCGAGGCGAATTGTTGAACGAATTTGTCTTTTTCAGATTCCGAAAGAGATACATAGTAGCTTGATCCGAAGGTGGTCAGGCGGACTATGCAACTTTTGTAGTCTAGAAGGAAGAACATGGTTAGCAGAAATTTCGAAGAACTCGAATGCTCAATCGGTAACGCTCGCAGTGTTCATACTCGTGCTCTTATCTGTCTCCAGGTTACCTGTGAAAAGCGCCGTGAACAAAAATATTTCAGTCATAGTCCAACAGTCAACAAACGTGAGAACACAGGGACGTAGAATTACCGCTATTAAAGAGCCAAACGTTCCTTCGCACTCCCAGCAGCGGTTGACCATACGTGGATTCCACGACGAAGTCGTTATCAATCGTCACATAATAATCGGTGTTCGGTTGATCAAAAGTGCTTGACAACACTTTCACCACCACCGTCTTGTTACCGTTCGACAGTGAGACATAATTTGAGTTTGAGCCGGAAATTGTTTGTCTCAAAATATCATATTTTCCTCCGAACAAATCATAACTGTCGCTGCTGCTATTGGATTGCCAGATGCTTATGTTACCGGTTGATAGTTGGAGCTGCCCTGGTGTTGAGTAGGTAATATTTATTGTGTGGACGGGGTATTGCGAGATGAAGGTACCTTTGGCGGGAACGGCGGATTGGATGAATGCACATCCATAAGGCCCCGGACCACCGGATGCGTTTTGTGCGCCTCCATTAACTGTTGGTGATATGAAAAGGAATGTTGATAGGAGGATTTGAAAAGGGAATATTGATCGGGGTGATTTTAACAAACTTACTTGTGCTGAAATCCGAGAAACTCGAAAATGTTGATATCGTCCATTCATTTGTCGCATTCGAATTCCCACCTACGCCAATAATCCACACTGAATTGTTCAAAAACACACCTACCTGCAAATACTTGTAGGTGTTTTGAAGCGACGCATTGGTGGAAACACTCGTATCGCCGAACACCCATCCGTCCGTCGATCCATTCGAACCACGAGTAACCACAAGGGTTCCACCATAGAACAGAGGAAGTCCGGTCAGAATTTCATTTGGTGTCAATGGAGGGTTCTGTATTTCATTCATGGCTAACACCGATCCCGATGATGTGAAATCCACGGTCGCAAATTCTTGACCGTTGTACACTAGACAACTATAGCCGATTGACGCGTATGATAAGCCGCAGCTGTATATGTTCAGTAAGGTGGCACTCGCGTTGACTGACGTTTCGTAGACTTGAAACGGACCCGTATCAGAGGATGATGATTGCGTAGAATTGTTCGTGGGTGCGATGTATGAGGCGAAGAGGTTCCAGGTGGAGGTGACGGCGGTATAATTGGAGGTGATCATACAGTAATTCCCATTCTCGGTGACAAAAATTTTGGTGAGGTTGGGAGAGAAATTGGAGATTCTGTTTTGCGTATTTAGTGTGCCGTTCGATATCACGTTTATCGATCCATCGGAAGAGCTGTTTTCGATTGACGATGGCACGCGAATTTTCATAAGCACTGGTATCGACAAATAACATGAACCAGCTGTTCGCTAAGGAAAAAGGGGGAACTTACGGAGATGACCACTTCGTCCATGCGATCGGTTGATTTGCCACATAGCAAACTCTCAGGAATCCGCCATCAACGGTGTTATGATTTGGGATTATTTCACTATTGTCGCAAGTATCTCCGAGATTCGTATTATTACTGTGCAGTATGTAAATGCGTAGATTAATAAATTTCTTTTTTTTTTTTGCAAGTCGAGATCCACGAGATCGTGAATGAGCAGTGAAACGAGGTGACCATCGAAGTTGTAAACATTACCTTAACACATTACCACTCCAATCCAATATTGCTCCGTGAGTTTTATTATCAGCCTGGAAATAGGTCACTAAGATGTAATGATCAGGTATGGCATATATTCTTATAGCATCAGGAACACTCCCTGATGTTACGCCAGGCCCGGTAAATTCACTTCTATTCGCCGGGCAATAATTATCGGAAGGTATCTGAAGATCACTGTTATTGAAATTAACGATCGCAATATTTCCATTCGGATAAATTAATCTCAGGTTCAACCCCCCGTCACACGCCTGATTCTTATTGCCGGGCGCGGTGACACGTAGCAAGATGGTTCCATCATTGTAGACAGCATGATCCAATCCATTCAATTCATACAACGACTCGCTAAAGGTTAAGTTCTGTGACTGCGCCGATGCTACCTGGGGTAATAGCGAACAGATTAAATATGTCACCACCACCACCACCACCGCCGATACTCTATTCTTAAATGTCACTCCTCCCGTTGTGATTGTTGTCCTATATACTGAATCTGCTCGATATTCGCTTTTCATAATAATAAATCGTTTTTTCTTCCGCTACCCAACGCATGCAGAGAAAAATTGCAGTGATTTTCTTTTCTCACGATGATTTGGGTTGCGTGTGGAAATGAATTGTTATCGGTGGGGTAGATAAAAAGAAATTAATTAGGTGCTTGGAAAGTCGTGCTCACCGATAAGGTGAGGAGAAAAAAAGGGAAGCGAATGATTGAAACAATCAATGATCTGATATATTTTTTTTTTTTTCAAATGTATATTAATAGATTTTCGCATTGACCCGGCAGTTATTTTGTTATAGTATGTGTGTGCTTTTTTTACAATACATAATAATAGTCGTACGTGTATTCCACAGTACTATGATGTGAAGGTACTACAAACAGGAAAAACTAGAAATTCGCTCATAAAAATTCTTCCAAGGTCGGCCATTTACGGGTTTTTTTAATTCTTGTCTCACAACCAACGACTATCGAGAAATATTTCAAAATGTCTTACAAAAAGCAAAAGATGAAGAATATTGGAATAAAAACTGACCACCGATACATATTAACCCGTAAGAACGATCTAGATTGCGATTATCGACCACCTTGAACCCGCACGGCGACCTACGTATAAGTAAATATTTTTGCTCGCTACATCTCTTGCGCATATGAAATATCTATTAATACGATTTCTTTGTCTCGACCAGGATTCATTTGGCAATTATCAATTATGCCAAGGTTAAACGGAGTCGTTATTATTCAGATTTTTCTTTTCAGAAACTCTGAAATTTTCCGAGAATAACACACACACCAAATCTTGTGCATCGTGACCGATACATGATACGACCAATAGAGGTGTCACTCGGATTAGAGTTTATTCTCCAGCAACACGGGTTAGGAGGAAAACGCCGATTCAAATGGGGAGAAACAAATTATCCCAAGAAAAGTAAACCACGTCATTTTCATTTCTGATAATCCCATTTCGCCTATCGTAATTTGTTTCAGATAATGTCCATCTAGTTATCGTTCTTTTTTCTTTTTTCGTTAGTCCCATCTCAATCTGTTTCGTACTCTATTTACTATTATTTCTGTTTATATATTTGCTCATACTATCTCCACATTCGGATTAATTGATTATCATTGTCCAAGCAATAACAATTTCTTGAAAAAGATGTCGGAGAAGGTAAATGGTGGCTCCTCGATAGGGGATTTCATAATGGGGACTTACAAACGTCATATCTATCTGCGCATATTACTGTAATATTTACTTGTCAAATTGGTGAACGAAAATTCAGGAAAAGGAATGATATTTATTCATCTGCATATATTGGAGAATTCTTCATTAGGACATAGCTTTTAATTATCATTCCAAAATTGGTAAATATCATGTACAATAACTACAATTATTAATTCCACATCATAAAAAAAATTTTAGAGACACTGATACGCACGTTGCAAGAAAGAGCGACGCATCTACCCAAAACCTGAGTTCTAACATTTCCAGTCTGCGATACCTCATTTTTTAATTTAAAAAAAATTTTTTTTCCTTTACGTCCTTAAATTTTTTATTGTTCCATTCATGTGCTTGTAAAGTCAAGACTTTACCTGCAATATGGAATCGGAGATCTTGTTCGCGAGCTCATTGTGTCAAACAAAAAAACACGGAGTATCCGTTCGTGACGACTTCAAGGAAACTGATTACACCATAAGATGTGTAATAGGATACCACAGGAAAAAGCGAGATAGTAAACACGCAGGTCTTCGCCTATGACCACCAGGAATCTCAATCCACTCTTGAAATTGACATTTTCATGTGGGAACAAGTCACATTGTATCATCAAATGGCCCAGAGACGCTGACTATAAGCCACAGTTAAAACTTTCCATAGAACTTGCTATCTTCGGATCCCTCTATTCCTTTTGTTTTTAGAAAAGAACAATGGCAAAGTTTTGGGAGAACAAAGAAAAAAGTCTGTCATTATGAATGTACGTTTACACACTCGTCAACTGGTACCCGACATGCTTTTAATTCTGGGATATTTCTGGTTGGGCAAACTTTGAATGGGTGCGTAATCTACGCGTGATCTCATATTCCCAGTGTGCGGTACTTACTAAAATCAAATATCACTGATTTATTATTGATTTTTTTTTTTTTTTTTTTTTTTTTTTTTTTTTATCAGTGATCAAAATCAACAAGAAATACAATATTATTCGAAATCCCACATATATTTATTACAATTTCTTTATACTGTATATTTTTTAAATCCAATGATGGTATCAATATTTCTTTCGACAGTTCTCGGTAGTGCTCAAAAGAATTAGCGGTTATTCTCGAAAGTTTGAATTTTTTTCGTGTTCTAAATTTCTTTACACTATTAATAAAAATAAATAATATTACAATTTTATAATTCGGTTAATTAAATGTTTACATTTTAACTAGCTAGTAGGTCCCGCTTAACTATATTAGGTTTTTTTTTGAAAATTTTAAATTAAATAATTGCATAGATTAATTTATGAAAATAATAATAATAGGCCCGAATTTTTTTTTTCTAATTCACAACCATGCCACACGGCCTAATCTTTATTGTAAAGGTTATATAACTATCTACAATATTACAGATTTTTCACATAATGATTAACCTGTAATTGCACTGAAGTATTCTAAGTCAAGTCTAGGAAACAATATTTCACTCTCCTAAAAAATTGATATAAACCTCTATTCTCTAGGTTCATCAACAACAGTTTGTTACTATAGATTGCCTGAAAATCATAAATTGTTAAGTTAAAAGGAAAAAGGGAATTAATAATTAAAGAAAGAAGATAATTCAAGGTCTCATCAAAAAAGTTCAAAAACAAAGCCATCCTCTTTTTAAAAATTACCTAATCAGAATATTTTTCTTACTTTACTTGAATCTCAGAAGAAATTTTTTTTATTATTATCTGTGATATCAAATAAGTCAATATACTGTAACTAATTTTTTATTTAAATAAATATTAAATTGGAATATTTCAAGAAAAACATTTAGATCTCAGCTTTTATCCATAAAAACTTTATTATTACCTATAAAACTTAAAAAAGAAATAGAAATTTGTAATTTATATTATTCATTTCTTAATCTTTTAATATCATAGATATCTTTCTTAAGAGACTTAAGTTTCTAAAAAACAAACATTTTCAAAACATTCTTTTTAATTACTAATAATATTATTGAGATATTATATATAAATTTAATTAATAGAAGCTTGTTTATATTTAAGAATTAATATGTTTTATATCAACCAATTATTTTTAATAAAAATTTATATTATCCAAAATTCAGGATCAAATTGAAATAAGTAAAGTTTCTCAGAAAACTATGAAAATAAAAGCTTTAAAAAAATTAAGATAATCAAAAAGAGAAAAGATAAATCTTTTTACTACAAAAAACTTTTATAATCTCTCATTTTAAAGATTAAAAAAAATTTTAAATACTTTATAATCAAGTTTTCTTCCTTTATAAATTTTCTTATCATTAATATTAAAGAAGTTACTTAACTTTTTTTGATTATTGAAAGTCAAGTTTTTGAATAAGAAAGTTTGTAAACAATAAAAAAAGAATAAAAATAATTCTTAAAATCAAATTTTAAGTTGTTTTAAAGAAAATATTAAACCTTTATTAATAATGACATAAAAAAACTTTTTGAAAACATTTTTTTTATATATAATCAGGAGATCAGCAAAAAAGATAATTCTATAAAAATAAATATAGGCTTAAGTTTATTTTTAAATTTTAAATTAATTAATAATTAATATAATTTTTTTATAAAATAGTAATCAATATTTAAATAATAAAATTTATTAAGAAGCTTCTTAATAAATTAATAAGTTTATTTTCTAATTTTTTTTTTTTTTTTAAAAAAAAACCCATAGTCAGACCAGTACTATGTATTTATTAATCAATATAAAAACTAATAAAGATATATAAGGCAATTGCATCATAGTTAAACTAAAACACTTGTACT